CCCCCCCCCCCCACCACCTATAAGCAATAAACTTAGTTGCCTTTAAAGTATTGTATCTAGCACTCTAAGATTAGATACTTACCCCCTAATTTTAAATATTAGAAAGTCTCTGTACTAATGTCATAAAAAAGGGCTGAACATTGTATTGGCTTGGATCCCTAGCCACTGCGGGAATTATGGCAATGAAATTGCTGATAATTTAGCTAAAGAATTGTTATTCGTAAAAAGTGTATCGAGTACAAAAATACTTGGTACTGAAATGAAAGTATCGATACTAATCAGGTATCGATACTTTTTGCGGATCACTAAATTTGTTTTACACTGCTTAGAAAGAACCGCGAAACGACACCATTGTCGACCATTGCCCTTGCAGTTGAGATCGTTTTACGTACTCCTGCAAGCTTACAACGTTTGACTACCATGGCGACTTCTGTGTCTGAAGAGTTGAGTGAAGTGCAAGTGTTGGACTCAAATGAGCCACTTGTCACGGCTTCCTCTTCTGCGCCGTCTTCAAGTAGTGCGCGAGTGTTGGACTCAATAGAGCCGCTTGTGCCTACTACTACGCAAGTGCAAGTGTTGGACTCAAATGAGCCGCTTGTGCTCCCGTGTGTGCGATTCCCGGTCCTTGACGAACCGGTTGCTGGTCCTAGTGGGATGTCCGGTCCCAGTGGAGCAGCTGGTTCTTGTGGTAGCCTATCAGCTATTGCTAGTTCTTCGGAGGACGAGGGCGAGGAATTTGCTGCTGCGATGCCCAGACCTACTGGGTCATCTGGCAGAAGGCTTAACCTTTACTCAGATGAGATAAAGTAAATTTTGATTTATGTTATGATTACTGTACATTATCATTGTTATGTCAGATCAGGTTATAAAAGGGCGTATAATTAATCAAATTTTTAATTTATACTTCTATAATTTTATAACTAATTTTCTATTATTTTTAAAAGGAAGCTCCAACCATGATTATGCCATATAATAGATTAAGTTATGCAATAAAGAATTGAATTGATCCAATTTGAATCTTGTTGTTATTTTAATAAAGTTTTAATTAAACTTTTTTGTCATTTATTGTCTTTATCTTGTGTCATTATCTCTGTGTATGTCTATGATGGGTGGTATTTATATATTACTTTCGAAAACATGTATACATATAGTTTAGAGTAATTACTTAATTATCTATAATATTGATAGGTTTAAGTGGATGGTATTCCTAAATTCCTTGTAATATTTATAGAGTTAACTTTAGCACTAACAAAGTTTGATTGTTACAGTGCCCTTTGTCAATTTAAGGAAAACCTGTTATTGGCATTACTACATACATTAAACATAGTTATAAGATATATAATTTGTAAAGCTGTTGGTTTTCTTAATAAAATAAATAAATAAAATAAACTAATTGCACTCATAAATTTTTATTCTAATAAGCAGTTCAGTTTTTTCTATTATGTGGATAAGATCAAAAAGTATTACCTATTCATATTTAGTATGTAATTTGTATCTAAATATAATTTTCAAAACACATACATTACCTTTTTTTTTAGATCCATGTTGAACTGGAGAAAAATCTTCTCCAAATTGGGTACACATGAACAGTGTGTTCCGCCGTGTGCCGTGTAGTGGCGGTTGAGAATATCCACTACCCCATATCTTCCCGTGGGTGTCGTAAAAGGCGACAGAGGGAGACAGGCAGGAGATGGGCAGCAGCATCTTCCTGATAACAACTGTGACGTAATAAAAAACTGCGGTTGCCAACCCGCTCGCCAAGCGTGGCAACTATGGCAAATACCCCCCAATGAATAAATACACAAACAGACGGCCCCCAGTCCCCCGGCGGCCCCGCTATTCCTGGCTACGGTGGCGACCATGGTAACGGCGGGGCAGGGGGTGCTAAGAATCTCCGGTGGAGGTTCGGTTGCCACCTACGACGACTCGACCTGGCAACATATAACGCACGCACCATGAGGACTGACGAGAAGATACCAGAGCTGGAAGAAGAGGTAGACAAGTTGCACTGGCATATTATTGGATTATCCGAGGTCCGAAGAGGGGGGGAGGACACGGCAATCCTCGAGTCCGGCAACTTGTTCTATCACCGGGAGGGCGACCATCTGTCCCAAGGAGGTGTCGGATTTATCGTCCACAAGTCTCTCGTCAACAACGTTGTAAAGATTGGGAGTGTGTCGACGAGGGTCGCGTACCTGATACTCAGAATCACCAAACGGTATTCGCTGAAGGTCATTCAGGTTTACGCACCAACCTCGGCACATCCCGATGAGGAGGTGGAGGAAATGTATGAGGATATTTCCAGAGCCATACATTCCTCCAAAACCCACTACACGGTGTTGATGGGAGACTTCAACGCAAAACTAGGCACAAGAGAAAGCGTTGAGTTGAAGGTAGGGAAATTTGGAGTAGGGCAACGGAACCGAAGGGGCCAGCAGCTGGCCGACTTTATGGAGAAAGAGGGACTCTTTATGATGAACTCTTTCTTATAGAAGCGACCCCACAGGAAGTGGACCTGGTCGAGCCCCGACGGTTCGACAAAAAAATGAGATTGACTTCATTATGACGACCAGACGCCAACTGTTCAGTGATGTCTCAGTGATCGCAAGGGTGAAAACTGGCAGCGATCACCGAATGGTTAGAGGCACACTGAACCTAAACGTTAAGTTGGAGAGGTCTCGTCTAATGAAGTCAACGCTCCGTCCCCCTCGTGCTCTAATCCAGAATCCCGAAACCTTTCAGCTCGAGTTACGTAACCGCTTCCAGTGCCTAGAAGATTGCAATGCAGTGGACGATATGAACGACAAGCTCGTGGAAACTGTCCATGCGGTCGGAGCTAAGTTCTGCAAGACCCGCCGCAGAAGAACACAAAAACTCTCCGATCACACTCTTAATCTCATGGCTGTTAGACGGGAGATGAGGCTGCAATCGTCAACAGATTTGACAGCATACAGGCAACTGAACAGACAGATCTCCAAATGCATGCGGCGAGACTTACGCAACTTTAATACTTCTCGTATTAAAGAAGCAATCGAGCGGAACCAGGGCTCCAAAGTCTTTGCCAGAGATCTGTCTGCCAGAAAGAGCCAACTGTCAAAGCTGAAGACTGAGTGTGGCAACATCGTTTCCGGGACACCTGAGATTTTGAGTGAGATTGAGAGGTTCTATGGGCAGCTGTACACATCATCGTTGGAGCCACACGCAAGTGTGAGTAACGATCCAAGAGCAAGTCTTATCCGACACTATTCCGATGATATCCCGGACGTCAGTCTGAGCGAGATTAGAATGGCTCTCCACCACCTTAAAAACGGCAAGGCCCCGGGCGAGGATGGAATTACAGCGGAGCTTCTGAAAGCGGGTGGAAAACCGGTACTTGAAGTCCTTCGGAAGCTCTTCAATTCCGTCCTCCATGGTGGCACTACTCCGGAGGCGTGGAGCAGAAGCGCGGTGGTTTTGTTCTTTAAGAAAGGTGACAACGCTCTCTTGAAGAACTACAGACCGATTTCCCTTCTGAGCCGCGTCTACATGCTATTTTCGAGAGTCATTACGAATCGTCTCGCACGCAGACTCGACGACTTCCAGCCTTCCGAACAAGCCGGTTTCCGAAAAGGCTTCAGTACCATAGACCACATACATGCCCTGCGGCAGATTGTACAGAAGACCGAAGAGTACAATCTGCCACTTTGCCTGGCATATGTGGACTATGAGAAAGCCTTTGATTCCGTCGAAATTTGGGCGGTGCTACAGTCCCTTCAGCGGTGCCAAGTTCACTGTCGGTACATCGAAGTGCTGAAGTGTTTGTACAGTAGGGCTACGATGGCTATCCGAGTACAGAACCAGAGTTCGAAACCTATCCAACTGCAGAGAGGTGTAAAACAGGGTGATGTTATATCCCCGAAACTCTTCACCGCTGCGTTGGAAGACGTTTTCAAGCTACTGGACTGGAAAGGATACGGTATTAACATCAATGGCGAGTACATCACTCACCTTCGATTTGCCGACGATATAGTCATTATGGCAGAATCGCTGGAGGACTTAAGCATTATGCTCAATGACCTCAATAGTGCCTCCCAACGGATAGGTCTTAAGATGAACATGGACAAAACAAAGATCACGTTTAATGTCCATGTCACACCTACGTCGGTAGTTGTTGGGAGCACTATGCTCGAAGTTGTTGACGAGTACGTTTACCTGGGACAAATAGTCCGACTAGGTAAGTCCAACTTCGACCGAAAGGTCAATCGACGGATTCAACTCGGCTGGGCAGCGTTCGGGAAATTACGACATATCTTTTCGTCAGGTATACCTCAATCTCTAAAAACTAGATTGTACAACCAGTGCGTGTTGCCAGTGATGACTTACGGATCTGAGACGTGGTCCTTCACTGCTGGCCGTATGAGGACGCTTAAGGTCGCTCAGCGAGCTATGGAGAGGGCTATGCTTGGAGTTTCTCTGCGTGATAGACTCAGAAATGAGGATATCCGCAGTAAAACCAGAGTGATCGACATAGCCCAACGGATTAGTAAGCTAAAGTGGCAATGGGCCGGCCATATAGCTCGAAGAACCGATAACCGATGGGGAAGAAAGGTTCTCGAGTGGCAGCCTCGTACCGGTAGGCGTAGTGTAGGGCGACCCCCCACTAGATGGAGTGACGACCTGGTAAGACATGCAGGAAGTCGATGGATGCAGGTGGCTCAGGACCGTGCTTTGTGGCATTACTTGGGGGAGGCCTATGTTCAGCAGTGGACTTGTGAAGGGCTGTAATGATGATGATGATGATGAATGATGAACAGTGTGTTCAGTTTGCGGAGGAGAGAGGACTCATCCCAGTAGACAAAATCTGCGCATACCACCGGAAGCCAATGATTTTGACAAAGGAAGCAGGGCAAGTGGGAAAATTCAGATGCCGGAAAAGCAACTGCCGCACCAAAACAGTTTCTCGTGCTATTGGGACCTGGTTTGAAAACGCACACTTGTCCCTCACTTTAATATTTCAAATCATGTATGCATTTAGTGAGGGACTGTCTTACAACCAAACGAGGAAGGAGCTAGCCTGTGATGATGGCCTAGTAGTTTCTGACAGAACTGTGGCTGACTGGTTCAGTTATTGCCGGGAAACAATTTCCATTTTTGAACTGGAAAATCAAAAGGCCCAAGGGAAGATAGGTGGCCCTAATAAAGTGGTTCAAATAGATGAATCTAAATTTGGTAAAAGGAAGTTTAACCGTGGGAGACATATTGAAGGACATTGGGTTATTGGCATGATTGAAGATGGCAATGACGATCTGCGGCTTAAGGTGTGTCCAGATAACGAAAGGTCTGCAGATATATTGGTGCCACTCATAAAAAAACATGTCCAGGAAGGCTCCATCATTCACACAGATTGTTGGAGAGCATATCTAAGCCTTCCTGAGCATGGATATATCCATAAAAGAGTAAACCATAGCGACCCAACAGAGAAATTTGTGGCTCCAGACGGGACACACACGCAGCGCATTGAGAGCCAGTGGAGAGGCTTAAAAAACAATTTAGGCAACACCAACACAAGCATTATTTTACAGATTGGTTGTGCGAGTACCTATGGAGACGAAGAATTATGACAAACCACTTAGATGCCTATGAAGAGTTAATAAGTGCAATTAGATATTTATATAGAATAGAATAAGGTTTAGTAATTTTAGTTTCACCTTCCATTCTGCTTGCCGCATCGCTTTCGAGCGGTCGTGTCAAGCAGTCAGCGCTCCGGTCCCCGTAGCCGTCGCAGTCGCTGTCGGTGAGTCTTTTGTTTTTCGCATCGTTCTTGCCCCTCTTCACACTCGCTATAGTCCCTAGCCTACTTAACCCATCTCTTAATCTGCCTTAGTTAGGCACACTTCTAAGCGGCTTTGCGCCGCTTGCACCCTCCTTTATGCCAAGGAGGCTCGCGTCATTCCCCACCTCCCTCCCCCGCTTTCCGGAGGGTTGCCCTAAATTTCTTCGGGCGCATCAACAAAAAAAAAAACAACCCCCCTCCCAACCCCCCCCCCAACCCCCCCCCCCCCCCCAAACAACCCCCTCCCGTAATCCCCACCCTTACCTTCATTTAATCTAGTTCATTTTACCGCCCCTATCCCATATCCCCGCCCTCCATTTCATCAGACACTTAACCTTGAATATCTCCGTAACCATGGGGTTCCGCAGGGAGGGGATGACACAGGGGGTAGCCCTCCTTCCCTCTTCCCCCCTCCCCCCCCCCCCAAAATCTCAAATATCGATGGTCCATATTGGAAATTTTAACCAATTATCGTAAGTGGTATACTTTAGAAGATATGAGGGTTTGAATCGTCAATATATTTTTTACATTTTTTTATAATTTTATTTTCCCATAGTGGGGCTCCTCATAGGTGAATTTAGTATGCCAACCATGCACTAAGCCCTATTGACGTAAATTAACTGTTAATTAGGAATCATTTCTATTAAGGAAATAAGTGGTGAAGAGTTCTCTAGCGTTAATTGCTGTTATTGTAGCACGATTATTAACTCTATTACGAGGAAGTCTTCCAAAATTGTTATTTAATTGATTATTTGTTACAGATAATTCTGGTTCTCTCTTATCTCTGTGTATTATAATATTGTGCAACAGACTGCCTTTACAATTTTAATTGAATTGTCCACAGATGTTTCGATGCTTTTTAAAAGAATTCTAATTTTACTAGCAGCCATTCCAAAGGTGCATTCTATACCGACCCTTGTAGTAGACAATTTGAAATTAAATCTTGATTTATCTGCATTTCCTGTTGCTTGTGTTCTTGGATAAGGTCTCATTATGAACGTTTTCAAAGGAAAAGCCTCGTCCCCTAAAAATACATATGGTGCCACAATATCACTATTCGGTAATCGTTCCTCGGGTGGTAACTGAATATTTCCACTGTTAAGTTCTTGAAAAAATTTTGAATTGCTGAGAACGCCTCCATCACTATCTTTCCCGTATGCACCTACGTCAATGATGCGAAATGTGTTGTCTGAATCGGAGACCGCTAATAAAACAATTGAGTAATAATTTTTGTAGTTGAAATACATGCTTCCAGAGAGTTGTGGCTTTACGACACGAATGTGTTTTCCGTCCAGATTCCCACAGCAATGTGGAAATTTATTTTTATTTGAAAATGAATTTGCTATTTCCTTAAAATCTTCGATACTTGGAAACTCATATGTATTTCGTTAAAATTATTCCAAATTGCACTGCAAACCTCCATCACGATACTTGCTATTGCGGTTTTTGAAATGCGAAATGACACTCCTAATTTCCGAAAAGGGGTTCCTGTTGTTAAGTACCTGTAAATAATAACACGTTGAATTAAATTTTATTGTTATTTATTACAGAAAAGGACGTTAAAACTAGGTGGCGACACTTATGGGATGTCTTTCTAAAAGAATTGAAAAAAGTTCGTAAGCCTCGCTCTGGAGATCCTGGAAGCCCAAATGAACAATATTACTCAGGAAAGTGGACCTATTACCAACATATGTTGTTTTCAAAGGATGTTTCAATGCCTCGACCAACTGAAGGTAATAATGTTCATCAAGAAACTGGAAATAATGATAATGATGCCAGCCTACCATCCACTTCAAGATCAGAGCAGAATCTTCAGTTGCCTGATGAAGAGAATTCTACTGCAATGTCTAATAGATCCGAGGCTTTTGTGTCTTCTGATGACGAACCACTATCTACCAGTGCGCGCAGTACAATTACACAGAGCACGAGTGCTTTGTCAACTGAAGCTTTGGATAGTGGATTACAAACTGGATCCCAAAAAAGAAAACGTAAAGAAAATCAATCTTTAACCGAATATCAGCGTCGAATGATCCAAATCGAAGAAGATAAAATTAAAGCGTTTAAGGAGAAAGAAAAAGAAGTTGATGATGAAGATTTACTATTTTTGAAATCGCTAGCTCCATATTTTAAATATATGAATCCAGTGCAAAAATTAAGATTAAAAAGTAAACTACAGAATACAATAGCAGACGAAATTTCTCTAGCTATGCCATCACCCCTTTCAAACTCTTCATCTACTATGTCAATGTCAATCATACCTTCACCTGTGCATGCATCGTCACATCCATCCATGGCACCACCGACAAACACACAACAATTCTACGAATCATTTAATGCTGAATATGATTCTTGAATATAAGATTTTTTTCACCTCAATTTCTTTTTCTAATAAAAAAATGTGTGATTATTGCTTTTTGTATACCGCCTTCTTCTTATCGTATGGTTGATGAACAACCTTTTAAGTTTAAAAAAAAGTTTAAACCGCCCGTAGGCCTCTGACATGGCTTCACACACCGTTGAAAAATCTCTCAGGTGTGCTGGTTTTTTCACGATGTTTTCCTTCACCGTTTTTAGCAAGTGATAATTAATTTATAATACGCACATGAATTCTAAAAGACATTGGTGCGTGCCGGGGTTCGAACCTGCAACCTTTGACTTGGTAGTCCAACGGTCGTACCACTCGGCTATCACTGCTTTTTTTAAAGCTCTTTCTTCCTGCTTTTTTTATACCGTAATAGTTGATTATAAGATTTTTTTAAAATTTGTAAATCCAGTAGTTTAAAACTAGAATTCTACGTAATTTTGCTGACTTAAGAAGTGTTTTATATACTCTGTTGCACATTAAACCGACATAATGACTACCTATATGAAAGAAATATAAAAAAGTAATAAATAAATATAATAAATACATAAAATATTTGTCTTTCATTTGAATGGTCTTTCAACAGGGACTTACAAATTGGAGGAAAATGGATACGCACACATAATAATAATAAAAAACTTACCTGATTGTTAACACCAATCTTTCTTCCACACTAATGGGTTTTTTAAAGTTGGTCACTCTATGATTACAATCGCTACGTATTCCATTGCAGATGTAGTCAAATGTTTCTTTTGACATAGACAAATAATCGTAAAAGTCTTCTTCGTTATTTCGTACATCAAAATAAAGGTTGAAAAATTCACCGCGCAGATTCCTGGATCTATAAAGTATTTTATGTTGTCTACGTTTCCTTTTTTTCAATGTCATTTGCAATTTTTAAAGCAATATTGCCCGACAGCAAAAACTGTGCATCTCTATAAAGAGCCATCGTTAAAGTGGCGTAAGCGCGACGCCAGCCATCGAGCGACGGCATCGCACGATAGACATCGCGCGATCTATTAGGACACCTGTTAGGTCATCGTACGACCACTTTGATCGTGAGATGAAAAACGCATCGCGCCATCGTACGATCGCTCCCAATTAGGACGACGCCTCACAGAATACCAGCGTAAAATAGTAGCTTAATGCTGCTGTGTTTTGTATGGTGAATGTAGAGAACCGGAGACCCTTTTTACTGGAAACGAGAAAATGATCTTAGTCCTCACGGGTGACAACGCATCTGCATTTTGATTTGTAATCGAGGATAGATGTGGATGTCTAAGGGTCGCAGCAATGTCTCCAGCAGATGGTGAATCTCAGTTAATGACAAGATATGCTAATAAATCCAGAGCCGTGACTATGTGTCGAAATGGGTAGTAGAGGTGGTGAATGGCATTTTTAAAACTGAATTTAAAATATTTCATCAAAATTACTTTAACAGGGCTTCTACACATTTGATGACAGACTGCTGTGGCTGCTGCTATAATTAATAAATTCCACACAAAAATAAGGGACAGGGATGATGCGGCTCAAATACTTGAAATAGTTCACCAAAATATGGAGACAAATAATGATTTGTCTGAGTATGCTAGGGAAAACAATCTAAATAGCTCTATTTAGCAGGGCAGGCAGACTTTAGAAATATAAATGTAGACTTTAAAATGTTAGGGAATTTCCTGTTTTAACTTACAGCGAATTAATATTAATTGCTTGTGTCACATACCAATTAAACCAAGCTCGCTACTATTATGGTGAGCATATAAGATTTAATGGTTGCTACCGGATAGAACTCTGTAATAACCAGAGGAGCAGCATTATGGAAGGAATAAACTTAAGCCCTAGCTGATCTTTACTTAGGGCTAGAATTGCAAGTCATCACCATTAGTCGTAAAGTGTATTTTATATATATTTTAATTAGTGGCAATGGTTCTGGTAGAAATGCAATTAAAAAGTACTGTCGGCCGACGAACTGTTGGATGCTGTGCCCATGTTATGACAGTAATATGGTATTTGGGTTGGGCACGGCATCAGACTAATATTTTGCTTCCTGCTCAGTTCCTGAATGATGTATAGATGTGTAAATTAGAGGCAAATAATTCCTATGAGCTTTCCTAGATGCGTTAGTCATCCAAAATTCTAACAACACCATAGGTCACACTGTGTATAGAAAACAATGAATCTCACCATCATCCTTCACAGTTAGTTACCATGAGCAAATCTTTGTTACAGAGAGCACAAGGGATCTGTGGCAGCAAACATCTGGCCGTCAGTTCTGCACGTCAACAAGCTTCGGGTCCCGCGCCTACGTCACAGTGACCGAGTGAAGCCGGCCACAGTCAAGCGTGTGCAGTACTACCATATGTCAGGGGTGTCACAGACTAGATCCGCTACATCTTGAAACGAGCTTCTATTAGAACACTACAAGCCTCTGAAGAAGATTAGTGAGTTCTTACCATCAATCAAGTGTCATATTCTTCTAAAAGGTGCAGGAGTGTACACCCTTGATTGTGAATGTGGTCGCTCATATATGGGGCAAACGAAAAGAACAATTAAAACCCGCGTAAAAGAACATATAGCTGACGTGAAGCATTAAAGTTCAGAGAAGTTTGCAGTTTGTGATCATATCCTAGACGGCCCCAACCAGATATAAGTAAATCAGATTTGATGGACCACAAATCCTCTAGAAGGAACATCAATTCCTATCAAGGATGATACGTGAGACTATTGAAATTAAAAAAAATCCTTATTTAAATAGAGAAGGAGGCTTGGTACTACCACCTGCTTGGGACCCATTAATTAATGAAATTAAAACTAAACTCAAGCATACCACTGCAAGGCTTCAAGACTCAGTAAGTACATTCTGTAGATCGAACCATAAACGAAAAATTAAAAATCTGAAGGTATTCCAGGTTAAAACTGACATTGGGACGTCAGTCACCTCAGTCCGCCGTAACCATGGGTGCTGGAAAGCACCCGAAATGTCGGGAATTAAAAATCAAGGAAATAAAACGCGATAAACTTGATAAAAGTAGTTGTTAAAAAAACTGTATTTGTGAAAATAAAAACCTATATATTTTTAAAATCCCGACTTTTTTAAAGCAATTCCTTTACCATTTTATTCTTTTAATTGCATATTATCATATCTATATACTTTTATATGTGGGCACCCATGGCCGAAGTGTCTATGAAGAGTGGGCAATCCCCTTTGGTAGCTTTTTAAACTAACTTTTTAGCCTGGAGTTTTTTTCAAATTATGATTTCCAATTTTTAAGATGTGATCATCATCATAGACACGAAATATGCCCAACATTAGTTTCCCATGTTCATTTCTGACACCATAAGGCACATGTTTTAGCAACTCAGATGACATAGACCATGATAAAGAATCATTTGCAATAATCAGTTGATTGATGTGATTTAAACGAAATTTCATTCGCGTCATTATCATCCGCAGGAAGCGGGTCAGTGAGGGTTTTGTTGGATGTTGTATAAACATCTTTACCTGAGTTTTCTTCATTATTAACAGGATCTTCAAACACATCACTTGAAGAAATCGATGACTCACTTGTGCTGTACTTAGGTTTTTTTATAAGGTGAGCTTGGTCTGTATCTTCATTTAAATTCTGCTTTTCTTCAGTTTTTCTGGTAAGCATATTAAGCGGATCAACGATAGGCTTCAATATTATTTCCAAAGCCAGACTGTTTGTATTTTTTGCATCTTTTATCATTTCTACCTTTTTTTTACAGCTGCGGCAGATTTTACAATTTGTTTCTTGAGGTCTCGCTCCATTGTAAAGGATTTGTACTATGTTTGACTACTCAACAGAAACTGATTGCTTTGTGACATAGCAGCTATTTAAACGTTTAGTCTACTAGTATGAATGTATCAAACTTCATTCTGTACGAGTAACAGCCTTTATTTCGTTCACAGTCTTCATTTATAACAATATAATTGAAAGGTTTACTCCACACAGTTGAACAAATTTTCCGGAACTGAGACCATGTCATGTCAAACCCTACATGCTCGTCATAAATGTGTCTCAGATTTACGTCATCTTGTTTAAACAATATGATCAGGTTAGCGTTATCTCTAACTAGTTGCTTAGGTATCTTTAAGTTTGATTAATATAAAAACAGTCAATGTTTTTATGTCGACCCATGGCAAAATAATCGCGTATGTTGTTCTGATTTTCACAAACTATATCGTCAAATATTATAATTGAGTTAGGCGAAGCTTAGTGTGGACTCAAAATTTCACTATTATCATTATACTTTTAATAAGATGTACTTTCACATTCTGCAGTAATTTTTCTAAAAATAAGTATTTAGGTTGATATAAAGACTTTGTATATACATAAAGGTTGCAAAAACGCGGTCCATTCTGATGTAACAATAAGCTGATAACTAAGTTAGTTTTTCCGCAATTCGATGGACCGCATACAATACTACGTATTGTATTTAGCAATAAGCTCCCGTGACGTTTAACCTCATTTTTTTGTGCAAGACAGATGCAGTACTTTTTCTAAAAATAAGTATTTAGGTTGATATAAAGACTTTGTATATACATAAAGGTTGCAAAAACGCGGTCCATTCTGATATAACGATAAGCTGATAACTAAGTTAGTTTTTCCGCAATTCGCGGAACCGCATACAATACTACGTATTGTATTTAGCAATAAGCTCCCGTGACGTTTAACCTCATTTTTTTGTGCAAGACAGATACATTCTAATTTAAGTGATTCTTTTTGTTTGAGAAATTTCATAACAGGTTTGTTAACTGGTCCGTATTGGCTGATAGGTTTTAATGAACTAACGTTATTTCAATCGTGTTAATAATTTAAAAACTTGAAAAAGTTGCTGAAGTAATTAAATACTATAGTTACATTGTTACTTAATCATCAGCTTAAGTTCAAAAGCATTCACTCACTCTTGCTTCGCGCTACGCGCCCACTGAAGAACATAATTCTCTCAAATATAGGTTTAAAATTTTT